GCTAAAGATCAGGAACATTTTCTCATATGTTTATTGCCATTCGGATTTCTGCCCCTGTGAAACTTCTGTTCAGGCCCTTTGCCCACCTGCTTCTTTTCTCTTTTAAAAAACTTTTTGTTGTCAATTAGGTGAAGGTTTAGAGAGCATATCACCAGTTTTACACCCAACAATTCCTACACATTTTAACTCATCCATTGCAATCCCCTCACTATACCATCGTTGTGTTTCCTTTTTCCATTCTTCCTCCTTTCCTAACCCTTTGACTTTGTACTTGAGTTAATGCTGCCATTTTGATCCTAAGCGATTGATTACTCTAACATAGGGGTGAATTCAGTTCCACACCAGAAGAGTGACTAAGAACCATAGTCTTGGGAGTTCCACTAATCCCTATTGAACCAGTAAGCCTAGTCTGTTTTATGATTTTTAGTTTTGTTCTATATTTTCCTCCCACTCTACCCAGGATTTTCTAATGTGATCCTTTTAAGAACAGTTGGTAGTGATAGCTGGTAACCATCTAATTCTGCTGGGATCAGGGTTGTCGAGACTGATATCACATGAACAATTGGTCTATTGGACTAATTGTTTCCATACGTCTATCAATTTTCATCATTCTTCTTTCCTCCAAACTATAATAATAGTTATACTTTAGATGACTTAAAACCCCAGTAGCTACTCACCAAGCAAACTATGTTGTGCCAGTTGATCTAAGTGTCCTTCAAGACAATGGTCCTGTTGCCCCAGGCCCTCATTCTCTCAAGGTATTTTGCTGTGCATAAGAAGCTTTTAGAACTTTATCCCCTGGATTCTCCATCACACTCATGGATATATATATACAGTAAAGATAAATAAATGTATTGAAAATCCTTTGTCAAATTTACAAATGAGTTGTAGGTATACCACCACACTCCTTCCTACATATTGTTCAGCCTGCATGTCTATCCAAGCTTCTACTGGTAGATCACCACTACTTAGGATTGTATATGTACTTGTATTGCCTATTTTAATACTTCCAAACCTCCTTCTTGAAAGATTCTATGAGAAAAATATTGAATGATGCTTCTATGATGCAAGAAGCATCAAAAGAAAATGGAAATAATACACAGAGTCACTGTACCAAAAAGAACTCGTGGACATTCCATCATTTCAGGAGATAGCATATGAGCAAAAGCCAATGGTAATAAATGAAGTTGAAGCTACACTGAATTTACTAGCCAAAAACAAGGCTATGGGATTTGATGGAATACTAATTAAAATGTGTTTACCCAAGCTGTTGAAGCACTTGAAGTATTTACTTGTCTATGCCAGAAAATTTGGAAGACATCTACTTGCCCAACTGACTGGAAGACAGCCATATTTGTACCCATTCCAAAGAAAGGTAAACCAACAGAATGCTTAAAATATAGAACAATATTGATATCACAAGCAAGTAAAAGTTTGCTAAGGATAATCCAGCAATGGTTGCAGCAGTGTATTAACAGGGAGCTGCCAAAGGTTCAGGCCAGATTCAGAAGAGGACATTGAATGAGGAATATCATTGCTGATGTCAGATGAATCTTGGTTGAAAGCAGAAAATAGCAGAAAGATATTTGTTGTTGTTATGTGCCATCAAGTCAGTTTAAAACCATGGCGACTTTATACACAAGAAAAGAAATACTGTCCAGTCCTGAGCCATCCTCAAAATGTGGATTACAGAGTGCGCAACTTACCTCGACTCTTAGCTTGTCGGGGACGGTAACCGGAGCCAGCATGCATGAGTGCATCTCCAGCCACGTTGGCCAGGCTGGTATCCAGATCAGCAATGCCTGCTGGGAGCTTTACTGTCTGGAACATGGCATCCAGCCTGATGGCCAGGTGCCCAGTGACAAGACCATTGGGGTAGGGCATGATTCCTTCAACACCTTCTTCAGTGAGATGGGTGCTGGCAAGCATGTGTCCAGGGCAGTGTTTGTAGACCTGGAGCCCACAGTCATTGATGAAGTTCGTACTGGCAACTACCGCCAGCCCTTCCACCCTGAGCAGCTAATCACCGGCAAGGAGGATGCTGCCAACAATTATGCTCGTGGGCACTACACCATCGACAAGGAGATCATTGACCTCATCCTGGACAGAATCCGCAAGCTGGCTGACCAGTGCACAGGTCTCCAGGGCTTCTTAGTTTTCCACAGCTTCGGTGGGGGCACCGGTTCCAGGTTCACATCCCTGCTGATGGAATGCCTCTCAGTTGATTATGGCAAGAAGTCCAAGCTGGAGTTCTCCATCTACCCTGCCCCCCATGCATCTACAGCTGTAGTTGAGCCCTACAACTCTATCCTCACCACCCACACCACCCTGGAGCACTCAGATTGTGCCTTCATGGTAGACAATGAGGCCATCTATGACATCTGTCGCAGGAAGCTCGATATCGAGCACCCAACCTCCACCAAACTTAGCCACCTGATTAGCCAGATCGTGTCCTCCATCACTGCTTCCCTCAGATTTGATGGTGCCCTGAATGTAGATCTGACAGAATTCCAGACCAACCTGGTGCCCTACCCCCGCATCCACTTCCCTC